GCCCCAGCTGTAAAGTTGCTGCCTACACATGCTACAGTGCAACAGTCAACTTTATGGGGAGTGTTTTTTACCTACCTTGCTTACATCATCCTAGTAATGTCACAAATGCATTATTAACATCAAGGAAGGTAAAAACAAATGACTTGAACACTTAGAGAATTTACTCAAGCACACTCACTGTGATTGATCATCAAGAAAACGATTCTCAAGTGCATCAAGAACAAAGAACAACACTACTACGGACCAGTTCCCCATATCAAGTTATTGTATGTCCTTAGTTGAGTTGTAACTTTGTAATAGTTCTTCAATTGTAATTCCTACTTAGCTTGTTTAGAAGCATTGCGTAGGAAACCCTTTGTAAATCCTAAACCCTTGTGTTTGTATCTTGGCTAGAGTTAGTCGAGTTTTAAAGTCTTTGTAATAGAGTTATTACAAAGTGGCTTGTAATCGAGTGTTACAAGTTAGTGAGGGATTAAGAGGTTAATTCCTAGGTTACATAGGTTGTATCTGAAAGTTGCTTAGTAGTGAAGTTGAAATCCTACAAGGGTAGGTCGTGGTTTTTAATCCCGTTGAGTTGGGAATTTTCCACGTAAAATTCCTCCTGTCATTTACTCACTGCAGTGTGCGTGGTTTCTGTGGGAACTTATAGAGAACCTGGTTCTCTATATAGTTTGGTGGACCCTTAAATTCTACCACAGTGGGTCTAATCTAAAGAGTAAAGGAGGAGTATTCTTTTTATTAATATGGCTTTCTTTGATTGGTTATATAGCCACACAGGGGCGGAGCTAGTAGAGACCTTCCTATCTGGCCCCACACTTCAAATGGCCTCTTCTCCACTAGTTCTGTCTACAAACTCATTGTCCCTAGTGACACCAATTATCAATGGATTTGGGACCTTTATACGCTAAACAAAATTAAAGTTTTCCTTTGGCAATGCTTCCGTGGGTGCCTTCTTACTAATAATTTGTACCACATGCCCTGTCTGTAATCGTAGAGATAAATCCATCCACCACATCTTCCTAGAGTGCATCATTGCAAAGCATTTTTGGGCAGATATTAAAGTCACTATTCCTCCACAATCATACCATAATCACTGGCTACTCATACTGAAGGATCTCCGGAGTCCTCTAACCAATCCCCTCTTACCGTCTTACGTTGGGACGTTTTCTTCCCCTTTGTATTATGGCACCTATAGCTTAATAGGAATATATCTTCAATAATTTAGCCAACACACTCAATCTGGGACTTGTCATCATGCGATCCTTAGAGTTCCAGACCAGTCCGATTTGAGGGGTAGGGTAAAGGGTACTCATAGTGTACCTAAAAAAGTACCCTTAGAACCGATCTGAACCGGTACCCTTAGAATTATTTAATTTTTAAGAAATAGCTGGCCGTTTTGTACCATTAGTAAACATCTATTTATTAAAAGATAGCCATTGGCAACAACAAAAAAAAGGCTATTTTTACCTTCGTGCCCTCTAACACCCCCAACCCTTAAATTTATTTTTAAACCATAAATTTATTAAATTACACATTGGTCCTATTTTAAAACTATAAATGCCTCTTTTCATTCATTCATTTTTCACACAAAACTCTCTTATATATCTCTATCTCTCTCTTGTTCTAAATGCAATTTACATTCTATCACTCTATTATTTTGCTCTAATTCTGTAATATTTTTTCCTTGACACTACACCACTATTTCTTCCATCAACATCAATTATACGTCAGCATCTGATACACTTTTTCCAATTTTAATTCGCTATCGCATTTATTTTTGTTATACCGGTATTGCTATTTGTTCTAAGAAAAATGGCTCCTAGAGATGTAAGAAAAATATTTAGTAAATTGACTAAGGGTAATGCTAGTTCTAGTAATCCTAATCCTATTGTTGACTTCACTCACGTAGATGGAACACCTTTATATTAGTATTAATTATCAATCACTTGTATACGAAGCGCTAGAAGCACAATATTGCGATTTTGAGAATTTGAGTGAGGATGTCGGAGAAAGAATGATAACTTAGATGAAACACCCACTAGTCGGCCAACTTCAACTTAGAGTCAATTCCAATTTGGAGTTGGTGGTCCTTTACCTCCTACTAGACAACCAGTTGAGCATAAAAAAATTTGAAAATGGTTTATTCAGGATAAAGCTAATGAAAAGGCTATTTGTGCTTTTATAAATAACTGTTATCTTTTAAAGATAAAGTAGGTCATGGCGGGCTGGTGGTTTAAAAAAGAATATGAAAATTCATCATAAAGAGGTTTGGCTTGTTGGGAAAGGCGTCCGCGTTGCGAATCAATTCCCACCCAGTCCAGACATGGTTCTCATACTGTGCAATCGCAAATTAACCATGTGACTGTAGGTAACCAAAACACTAGAGTTGTGTAAAAATATTACCAAATATTAATTATCACTGTAGCGCCAACTACTTCTACCTATTCATCATCATCGCAACCTCTTGAAAAAAATGCAGCACAGAGACCTTTTAGTGTTATTCGACAAATGATTAGTCAATCTCAATCTTCACCAATTAACGAGCTTGATGTTTATATAATGCAAGAAATTATTGATATTTGTGATGATGAAGAAAATAAAAACTTACTAAAATATTGGAGAATCGACGAACAAACATTTTTGATTATTTCAAGAATGACAAGAGATGTGTTAACTATTCCAGCTTCATCAATAGCTTCTGAAAGTACTTTCAGTGCAACACGATTTTAAATTGGAGACCACAGATACTCGATGGCAGAAGATACCTTAGAGAATAACGCCTTATTTAAAGATCAGATTAAGGCGGAGAGAAGAAACTTTGGCCTTCCAAAAAAAAATTCAAGAAGATGATGCTGCTTATAATGAAATAGTTGTATAGGGTAAAATTGGTTAGCGATCGATAGTTGGACGAATACCGAGATGACACGTAAAACTGAAGACAGTTAAGAAGTGAATCAAATAATAGTTGGCACCGCATACAAGCATGTGACCGGTGCTGAGTGAATTCCAAAGGAATTAAAATCGAGAACAAAGATTTAAAAGGAAGATGTCGGTTGGGAAAGACAGCATTCAATGAACGTCTGTTACAAAGAATCTTATATTAATGACCAACAATTATGCAGTCTTTCAATAGCGGTTTTATTCTCATTCAAGAGGAGCTTGATTTGCGGGCCTTGTCTCCCTAAATAGAGCTATAAATAGGAGAATTATAATCCATTGTAAGACACAAAAAAATCATTTGTACTCAAAGGCTATATTTTGCTCTCATATTATAAAATTATTTGCTTTCTTTTGTTCTCAAAATTGTTCATATTATTGCTTCCGGGGAGGCTCATCATATAATCAGGCTTGTATTTCTTTTATAATCTTTACTTTATCTTTATTTATCTCATATTTTTGGATCAAAATTATTCACTTACCTATAAACCACGTTACAAATTTAACTGTATCGTTTTATGGGTAAACAGTTTGGCACCCACCATTGGGCCTAGACAATTGTAATTGCTTTGATCCATTCATCTGTTACTAATAAATTTTGATCCGTTTCTTAGCAAAAGAAAAAATTCAGATGTGACTGTGAACAATTCCTATAATGTTGGAGTACACAACTAACGTGAGTATGTGTTCCAACGTAATGATTCAACTAGCGAAACCCGCAATGAAGGAGATGAAATAACTCCAGTTCGTGAAGGGTCAAAATCCTTGGCACGTGAGGAACCCAACTCCTGATGATGAGGATGATGAACACATTGTGAAAACGGTCAAAATCTTGAGAGATCAACAAAGGGAAATTATGAATCACCTCTCAAGGTAAGACCACATGATGACGGAGTTGAAGCATGCGCTCTCGGTTGTTTCCAATAATTCTAATGGAGGAGTTTGAATTCCTCACAGCGTCCCTGCAAATCAAAAAGTTCAAAGAACCGGTAATGACGCTCCAAGGGAGGAGTTCGATTTTAACGAGGCAGTAGGTACCGGTAGTGGATTTTGGAACGACAACAATGCTAATGGCCCTTTTAAAACCGAGCTTATGAGATTCATGAGAAAAATGAATGAACGAATGGACCAAAATGCTAAAAAAAAATCCATGCTCTGATGGATCATATCTCTTGAGCGTCGTCGGTGCTAAAGGGACCGGATTCCAAGAAGTATACACAATTGCCGTTCAAACCAAGTGCAACCTTAGAGTTGATTCCAAAAAGGTTTAAGATGCCGGATATTCCGAAGTATGATGGGACTTCGGATTCACAGGAACATAACACGACCTACTTTATGGCTATAAAGGGAAATGACTTGTCCCAGCACGAGATAAAATCTGTCTTGTTGAAGAAATTTGGCGAAACCCTGACGAAGGTTGCTTTAACTTGGTATTCCTTTTTACCTGAGCATTGTTATACCCCATTTTAACACGTGTCAAAACTAAGTATAACATATTGGCATATCCAAGGTTTAATTAATTAATAGAGTCGTCACCTAATTATTTTAACGGTGAATTAGGACACCAATTTTAGCTAAATAATGCTTAAAGTTAACTCAATTTTATGGTTTGCTTAAACTTAAAAATTCTAGATAAGGGTTCTAATTAATCCTATAGGGAAGGTTATTAAGGCACCCTATATGATCCACTAATTACGGTTAACCGGTCAAACTTTAGGTTGTTAATTAATAAGTAAAAATAGAAAGCTATCAAAATCTGATTAAAGAAAACTTATCGTTTTACGAAGCGGTGAGAACTTGTTTTCAAAGAAAAGTTTTATGAAAAAAAGGTTTTGTTTCTTTTAAATAATATTTGACTCAAATTTTGTATTAAGAAATCTGACTGTTAAGTGATAAAGGAACTTGGTTTAAGACTGATTTACAAATTGATGCCTCCTAAATCTAATGTCTTGTATAAAAAATTAGTATAGCAAATTATTTTAAATCTCTTGACTTTAAAATCTTTAAAGTAGAAGTTGTATAAAAATAAGTATTTTACTAATAATTAGTCTGGAGATACTATGTGATTTAATAAGGCATAGCTATTTAATTCTATGTTAATAATAAGCTCCAACAAAAATCTCAAAATAGGGATAAACCTCAAAACACAAAAATAAAAAGTAAGATACAATGAAATGGGAAAAGAAATAAAAGAAGGACGCCATAGACGGCTAGACGCCCCGAGCGTTTCGCTTGTTTTCTTGCTATCTGGTGCACTCTATGGAAGACGATATGGGATGCGATGACTCCATGCTCGGGCACTGTTGAGTCTCGAGTGAGACTCCGGTTTTGCTCCAAGTGCATATGCAAAGAAAAGAAAATTAGAGAAGAAAACTTAATTCTTAATACATGTGACGATGAAACATACAAGTCAAGAATGACAATTATCTCCTTAAATCTGAAATATTCCACGAACTAGAACGAAACAGTAGTATACTACATACAAGCAATTCTACTTTAAAACAGCACTCTAAGTGCCTTTTTGAAGTTTTTCCTTTTAGATCAACCTAACAAACAAAGTGGGATTTACACTTCCTTAAGGCCATTAACAACAGTTAAACTTGACTCTTAAAGGTACATAGGAGATGACAGCAGCAAAAACCGTACTTTGTTCAACAAACACATGCTAACAGGTTTCACTTTTACCATTAATACTTAAGATATCATATATACATGCTATCATGATTACTAACTTATTATTTAACAATCATATGATCCTTAAGTGCAGGCAGAATTGATATCAATTCCTGAAGGGGGTGTTTAGCACATAGCCCTGCACTCACACTTAACTTTAACTAGTTATTAGGGATGTCATGTGAACCATGTTATAATGAAGAAACAATAATATTTCTTAAGGTATACTAGTAGGTTCCTATTTTGTTTATGAATTTGATTTCATTACAGTGAAGGAGCACAAATAGATTTTTTTTTTAAAGAATTCAGGTTCTTTGTCATCAACAGATTGTCTCAAACTGAAGTATTACTATGCTAATGGATAATGACCATACTTTCTATGGCAACAAATCCATAAGTCATGACTTCTGGTTAACAACTTATATTTTAGAAAAAAATAAGATTTCTACAGCATACAATGCTTCACATAGTCTAATAACTTAATCCAGAATAATATTATAAAGAAATCTTAGTCCGCGTTCACTTGTTCACAAACAACATGAAACATTGAATGGAAGCATGATAAATCTTTATTTCCTAGTTTCTAATCAAAGATCAGAAAAGAGAACTCACACTTATTTTTACTAAAGAACTCAAATATTACTTGGAGCAGATAAAGGGAGATCACTGACCTTTTTGCGGGCAGTGAACTAGGAGCGTCGTCGATCAACTATCGCACTTCGACCTCAGACTCGCTACCTCGGCTGAGCAAAAGAAAAAGCCCCTCTGTTTTGAAATTGAAAACCAAAAAGAGAAAGAGTTGGTCGAGCTAGGATTTTAGAAAATTAGTGAGTTTCAGAGAAGGAGGCGGCGGCTCCCCGGTGGATCGAAAATGAGTTCCAAAGCAGATATTTAAAGATAGAAGTTAAGGTTCTTCTAGGTTAGTTTGGGCGAGCAACTTTTGAGTGGGGTTATGGTTCAAAAATTGAACGTTGAGATCCGAACGTTACCATTTTTGAAGAGCTCAGCAGAAATCAAAAGAAAACATGAGATTCCTTGGTCAAAATCCTAAGCTTTCAGGGATTTGCTTCAGATCTTTTACCCAAATGGTAAGATATGCTCTGTTATGGAAAGAGTGAAGGTCAAGACTTAGCCAAAATTGGAGGAAAATTCCAAGAGAAAGCTCTGCCATGGCAGAGAATGAAAGAGACGATGGAGAGAAAGGGGAAACGGGAAAAAGAGGAGCGAAAATCAGAAGAAAACTTTAATTCTTTTTTAGATTTGAATAGATAGGTGCCGTTGGATTGAATAGAATTATCAAAACGACGCCGTTTGTTGTTTTGCCGCTGTTCTAGAGGGTTCCTAGAGTTGGGCTAGCGGGTCGTTTGAGGATTTTGGGCTACTGGTTGGGTGGATTTGGGCCGACCTTGGGTTTGGGGACAACTGATTTGAGAAGGTAATATTTGGACTTTTAGACTCCTTTCTTCTTGAGACAATTTCGCTTTTAGCCGTTCTGCTGAAACTTTTGACAAACTCTAGCCCAAAAATCTATTATGCAATTTGAAGCCAAAATCTTAAAGGTCGGCATCTTTACCATTCATCGCTTATATCTGGAAGTCTAGCCCTTCCCAAAATCGAGAACGACGTTGAGTACTTAACTAATAAGTTAGTGGCAGAAATTAACTAAGATAGTGTTAACATTCCCGAGTTCAACACCAAATACAGAACCTGCATGAATTATTAACTCGGTTTGCAACGAAGATGTAGAAATTAATTTTGCCATATATGTTGATAAACACAAAGCTAAATCTTTCTTTTAACTACTCAAGATCCAATTTGCAAGTGGTATCGCTTCTTGCTACTTTTGTTTGCTGAGAGATGTTAAACAGAATAAGTGTAAGGTTTTTTCCTTTGTCAATCAAAACATGTCGTTAATTACCTTCATAGCCGCCACATGATATGAACAAAAGAAGTTCAAAGAAGCACCATCTGGACATGTTTTAATCATATAATGGCATAATAATTAAAAATCACTATAAGATGTATCACATCAATTATATAATGAATGGTTTTACAAATGTGTAGTCATTCAATATACAAAAAAGACTGTCACTATATACAAAAATATACAAATAAACTGCCACTATACAAAAACATATACAAAATAGACTATCACTATACAATTTATATACTAAATAGACTGTCATTATACAAAAAATATACAAAACAGATGTCACTATACAAAATATATACAAGCAATATACAAAATAGATGTCACAATATAAAATATATACAAAAAGGACTGTCACTTTACAATTTATATACAATAGACTTTTACTATATAAAAAATATATTAAATAGACTGTCAATATATAAAATATATACAAAATAGACTATCATTATACAAAACATATGCAAAATAGACTGTTACTATACAAAATAGACATTTCGGGATATTAGATGTAATATGTTTGGGCCGAAGAGCCATTTCGTGTAAGTGAGAAAAAATATGGGCTATTAAAATTTTGAGGGACTATAGAGGGTAGTTTTCTATTTCTTCTTGGGTATTTCTTTGGGCTTCTACTTCTTATTATAATCTCTTAATTAATCACTAAAATTGTTCGACTCTTCTTATCAAAACTTATATAATTTGCTAGCATTAATTTTTTAAAATAACTATTACATTAATTGTGAAATAAAGAGTAAATATTGTAAAGTACAAAATTAAAATAAATACTACCATTTGATTAAATGAACGAAAGTAATACACTTTTTGCAAAAGATGATGATAATAATAATAATAATAATAATAATAATAATAATAATAATAATAATAATAATAATAATAATAATAATAATAATAATAATAATAATAAAAGAGGGACAAAATTGGATGTCAACAAGCATTCCATTGATTCTTTGAAATGCTTGCTGATTTTTTTTAATTAAAGCTCATGTTGGAGCAAGAAAGGTCCAACCAAGAAAGCCGGATATATTCAAAATATCCCAAGGAGAATCTAAACTATTATGAGAGTTCGTAATCAGGTTTCAGAAGGAAAGAATGTTGTTGCCGGCAGTACCGGATGAGTGGGCAGCGGAAGCTTTCAAAAAGGGTCTCAGCCCATTGAGCTCCGATGCCTCCAGGAAACTGAAAGAAATCTTGTTAGAGGTTCATACAACCACTTAGGCAAATATCCATAATCGTTACGAGTCAAAGATTAGAATAGAATATGATCAACTGAGCTCCTCGGTGTCGTCCAAAGGGTGTAATTGTGATCGAAATCAGGAAAGGTTTAAAGGTGATGTTGATACAGATCGGAGATCTTCTAAAGGTCGCGTTCAGCCTTACGAAAGGGTCGATGGGCGAGGAAATAAAGGTTCAGTCATCAGATAGGTTTACTTCCGATAGAAGAATGGATCGTGGTCGGAGTAGCAGAACTTTACATGAGAAAGAAGCATCGGGGTCCAAAAATTCAATGTATTCCCGGTTATCAGACTACAACTTTAACATGAGTTTAGTGTAGTTGGTGTCGACTTTGAGAAACATTAAGGGAGTCTACGTTTCCAAAACTAATTCAATAAGATCCTAGTCAGAGAGATCCTAATTTATGGTGTGAGTTCCATAGAACACATGCTCACAGGATTGGAGACTGCTGACACCTTCGTAAAGAGGTGGCAGCATTGTTGATGAATAGTCACCTCAGAGAATTTCTAAGTGATCAGGCCACGAATAATTATGGGAAAAATCGTAACGCTGGGGAGCCAGCCAAACCCGCTGCAGAATCACGTCGTATGACAAGAAACATGATTTTTGGTGGTGACGAGGTAAATAGGGTGACATTTTCAGCAACAAAGAAGATGAAGATATCAAAGAGGATGACATCACCTTTACAGAAGAGGATAATGATGGACTTCTTCTACCGCACAATGATGCTCTAGTAATTTCTCGTAATGTTTTAGATTTTATAATTAAACGTGTGTTGGTTGATCCAAGAAGTTCAGCCAATATCATACAATGGAAAGTTTTAGTGCAAACAAAGTTAACCGAAAACATAGTTCCAACAATAAAGCTTCTGGCCGGGTTTAACTTAACGAGTGTAACGACCCCGGGAGAGATCTTACTGCCAACACATTCCGAAGGCGTAACGAAGACCACTCTATTCGAAGTTGTAGATAGTGACATGGGATACAATGTGGTCCTTGAAAGGACATGTATATATGAAATGAAGGTTGTGCCTTCAACTTATTGTCAATTACTGAAATTTCCCACACTGGAGGGAATCAAGCAAATCTGAGGAGGTCAACCGGCTGCAAGAGAGATGAACGTAGTTACCTTGTCTAGTAGCAAGAGAAAGAGATAAGCAAATAGCAACTACAAGAGCTGGTGCCCTCTTCCACCCCAGTTGAAGATAATGAAGAAGAGGAGTCATTTGATTCTTATCAGGTACCGAGGTCTTTTGAGGTACCAGAAGAAACAGATGCGACCAAATCGATCGCTGAAGAGCTTGAACAAGTGGCCTTGTTCATGGAGTTCTTAGAAAGAAAATTTCACTTAGGAACGGGGTTGAATCCCGAACTCAGATTAAAAGTTATTGATTTTCTAGAAGCTAACGTCATTGTTTTGCATGGCCGCATTCAGATATGACAGGTATTTTATTAAAAGTGGCTATCCACAAGTTGAGTTTGGATCCTAACTTCACTCTGGTAAGACAAGAAACGACCAAAAGCAGAGGTCAAAAACAAGTTTGTCAACGAATAGGTAACCTGGTTAGTAAATATAGGTTCAATTCGAGAGGTAAATTACCCCGATTGGTTAGCTAACGTAGTGGTAGTACCAAAGAATAATAATAAATTTAGAATGTGTGTAAATTATAAAGATTTAAATAAGGCATGTCCTAGAATATGTGCAATCGCAATCTTCCTTCATGACGGGAAGATTAGCAAGACGAATGGAAGAGGGGTACCTGCAAATAGGCCAGTGTCTGTCATTTTTGGGGTTAATAGGTTCTTTTTGGACTTGAAGGTCAGATTGAGTGTTAAGTTGAAGGAGTATGATAGAGTTCAAGGTAGGAGGTTCATATTTGACATCAACTTCTTTTGATTTGTTCTTTTTAGGGCCACCTACGAAGAGAAAGTCGGTATTTCCGAGGACAACAGTGTTAGAATACATGATGGTAAGAAACATGAGAAGGGAGATTTTACTAAGAAAGATAAATTTTGCAGTAGGGTTCTAAGAGAATTCGAAGAAGAAGAAGAAGAGTTTGTAAAAGTGAAAAGTAAAATTGAAGAGAAGGAGAGAATTTTATAAGCGGCATAATTCGTGGTCATGATTACCTTGGAAACTGGCAAAACTATTAGCCAAATCTCGGGGTAACACGTGTTCGGGTCATTAAATGCGAGAAGATATACGTCCTTTCAAGTGTCAGAAATCGTTCAGAAACTTTTCCGCCAAGAAAAGGGATCTTATCTACTTTCCGGTAACACAAAGTTTTGTCATCGGAAAGTAGGGGGACTATCTGTATAGGGTAAAATTGGTTAGCAACAAGTGGACGAATGACGAGATGACACATGAAACTGAAGATAGGTAAGATATGAATTAGTAAATAGTTGGCATTGGATACAAGCATGTGATCAGTGTTGAGTGAATTCCGAAGGCATTTAAACCGAGAACAAAGATTTGAAAGGAAGACGTCGGTTGGGAAAGACAGCATTCAATGAGCTGCCGTTACAAAGAATCTCTGTATTTATAGCCAACCGTTATACAAACTTCAATGGCAGTTTTATTCTCATTCAAGAGGAGTTTGATTTAGGGACCTTATCTCCCTAAATAGAGATATAAATAGGAGAATTAGTGTCCATAGTAGGACATAAAAAAATCATATGTACTCAAAGACTATATTTTTTTCTCATATATAAAATTACTTGCTTTCTTTTGTTCTCAAGATTGTTCATATTATTGCTTCTGGGGAGGCTCATCATACAATCTAACTTGTATTTCTTTTATAATCTTGACTTTATCTTTATTTATCTCATACTTTTGGATCAAAATAATTTACGTGTATATAAACCACGTTACAAATTCAACTGTACTGTTTTATACATATACAATAGTATCTACTAGAGATGGCAGTGACACAGATGAACAAGTGTTACCAATTCAAAGCGAAGAACCTCGAAAAGTTATTAAAAGATTACATAAATAATTAAAAAGAAATATGTAATTTTATTTTTACAAGTATCGAATATTGCATTAAATAAAA